GCGAGGCCCAAGCTGCTGCAGCCGCCGGTCCTCGCTGGTCTCCCCCCCCGCCAAAGCGGCAGCAGCAAGGCCGGCTGCAGAGCGTTCCTTGTGCATGCACAGGGGACGCTCTGTCACATTTGGGGGGATTTAAGTATCCCCCCGATTTTTTTTCGGGTTTTTAGATTTTTGTGCACACCTGGGGATTGCCCCAAGTGTGCACAAAAATCTCCCTTCCCCCCCCCCAGGTGCCCCCGATGCGCGGATTTAGGTATCCGCATGCAGGGGGCGCCTTTCGCTATTAGATATATAGATTGACAAAGAGTTGGAGAGATTTTCTTTTTTTAACACAATGCTTTAAAATGGCTGGTCTAGAAGAAGGAAAAAAGGTTTTAACACTAATGGTTACAGACTTCCAACTTTTCCAAACAATCACTCTAATAGTAGAAACAGCTTGTGAAAACATCCCTGGACTCTATGTAACCTAAACTGGATTTACTTCTACAGCAGAGGACCAACCAGATGGAAGAATGAACTGTCATGGAAAACATCTTTCTGAGAGATATGGACGCAGATGATACAGATGAAGTCTGCAAACAAAATTACATGGCCTATAGAACGAAGTTAACACATGCAAAAAGAAATAAAATGTTTGGAAAACTGAATATTTCTATAAAAGAATGACAAGACATGAAACCTTTATAGCAGCAAATGGAAATTTCCTTCAGAGAGAGAAAATCAAAGAATATATGGAACCTCAAACTATCCAAAGAATTGAATAGATGAGTACTTTCAGAAGCTATTTCTCTTACATACACGTGGAAAAGACACAGAATTAAGACTGTAAAACGAAAAAGGAGAAACCAGAGGATGAAGAAGAGGATGAAATCCTATAAAAAAGGTTTAAAAAATTCTTTGGATTTGTGAGACCAAACACACTAGGTCAAATCCTTTTGGATAACTGAGTCTACACAGTCTTTCAAGATTTTATAAATGACTGAAAAGACTACAGAGATGTTTATGACTTCATAATCAATTTAGACTGACATATAACCAATTTGAAAGAAACAGGAACTTTATTTTAAACCAATTGCAAAAGAATATATATAAAAATAAGGTGTAATATAGAAAACAGAAGCGTAAATATTGTATGAGATACTTAACTAGATATCATAGTGATGAAATGAAAACCCCTGATTTGTGTGTTTGTCTTAATTTTAAAAATACGCTATTCTGGGCGTATTTCTGACTTATTTCTAATTTAAGAAAAATCTGTGTATACGTTGCGTGGAGCTGCCTCTCTGCCAAATGCACTGGCATTTTCCACAAGTTTCCCTTAACTCATTATAGAACGGGCCTGCAAAATAAATAGTTCCACCCAACTACAGGTGAGAACACCACATACAGGGAACCCCCAGTACCAAGTGCAGAAATGTTTGACTGCTATGGTCAGGCCTCACCTGGACTACTGTGTCCAGTTTTGGGCACCACATTTTAGGAAGGATGTTGACAAGCTCAAGCGTGTCCGGAAGAGGGCAACCAGGATGGTGAGAGGGTTGGAATCCAAGTCTTATGAGGAAAGGCTGAAAGAGTTGGGTATGTTTAGCCTGGGAAAGAGAAGGCTTAGAGGGGACATGATTGCAGACTTCAAGTATTTGAAGGGCTGTCATGTAGAAGATGGAGCAGATCTATTCTCTCTCGCTCCGGATTGCAAGACTAGGTGGAAATTACAAGGGAGTCGATACCGGCTAAATATCAGGAGAAACTTCCTAACTGTAAGAGTGGTTGAGCAGTGGAACAGTCTTCCTTGGGAGGTGGTGGATGCTCCTTCGCTGGACATTTTCAAGCGGAAGCTGGACGACCATCTTTGGGGTATGTTGTAGGTATGTAGGGCTATCTTTCAGCTATGCTCCTGCAGAGTGCAGGGGGTTGGACTAGATGACCTCCAAGGTCCCTTCCAACTCTAACATTCTATGATTCTATGAAAATCAAGCTTATGGTTCTACGACCATCCGAGTAACTACAGTTAAATTAATTGAGGAATTTAGTAGCTCTGATGTTATATGGAAGGGGAAAGGAAAAAAGATGTTGGACACCACCCCAATGACAGTTCAAATTACTCTAAGCAAATAATTTTGCAGTGCTTACCTTGACGTTTGGAAATAAGTCACTTTTGGAAAAGGTCTTGGCCTCACTTCCTGTTAGCAAGGAGTTGCGGAGATGTAGAACAATGTCATTATTACTGTATTTTGGAAAGGTACAACTCTCCATTCTGCAAGGAAAAAACACATTCTATACTTTTTTGGTGTACGCTAGTGAGGTAGGGCGTAAAATTTTCCTATGATATATTTTCCCATGGCAAACTTTCCACCCCACTTATGCAAACAGCCTATTTAGCTATAGTTTTCAGGGCTGTTGTGCTGCAGATCAATCCTATTAGCTAGGCTAAATATGGGATATGACCCACAGGCAAACCCCCCAGGGCATGAACATGTGGTATTTGCCTTCATTTGCTAACATTATTTTAATTCTGCAGACATTTAAGTATTGAAATTATTTGTTTAAATTTGAATTGGAAAGTTTCCTCCAGAAAAGTTACATCACTGGGACATATAAGTTAAGGATAGGGTACATTTCCTGCCAACCTAGCAGTCCAAAAGCAAGAAATTGCAAGTAGATAAATAGGTACCACTTCGGTGGGAAGGTAACAGCGTTCCGTGCGCCTTGATGTTTAGTCATGCCGGCCACATGACCACGGAAATGTCTTCAGACAGCACTGGCTCTTCGGCTTTGAAACAGAGATGAGCACCGCAACCCTAGAGTTGGATTCGACTGGCTTTCGAGCAAGGGAACCTTTACCTTTACATTTATGGAAAAATAAATAAACTCCCAAATAAACTGCCGCGCACAGCAGCCCAATAACTACAGTGAGAATACAGTGCTCCGGCAGCCAAACAGTTACAGTAGAAAAAAACAAAGCAGATTCCATCTGTTGCAACAAGCATCTCAATCTGCATAGGAAAAATACTAGCTCTGAGACAAATTTCAGGGTTACTTTTGGGGAAGCCATAGCTCAGGGGTAGAGTATCTGCTTTGCATACAGAAGGTCCCTGTGATGATACCTCTCTCTTATTTTGTGTGGTTAAATGTGATGTAGTTTTAAATCTCTTGTTGTTTCTTTCTCTCACTCATTCCAGTCTTTACTTAACCTTTCCCACAGTATTGTGCCCAAACTCTAAGGTTCCTTCGTTGGACTATGTAGTTCTGAGGATAAGACTCTAGGTTAACAATAAGCAAGATAAAACTTTATTGGTAAAAGAAGTGCATTGGTTACAAGATGTTTTGTTAAGTTGCTTAGTAGAATCTTTCCCTTTTACTCAGGTCTGTCAGCTTTTCCCCCCTCACACTCTTAAAATACTTTGACTATATTAAATTTTTCCTAATATACCCCCTTAAGTATATTTTCTTCCTCCTTTAGAATCTTAATGCCTTTCACAGCACTTCTATAAGATTCTAGGCTACTTCCCAGACTCTGTGCAGATTGGCCACAACTCTTAATGTACTGACTTCTGAGTTCAAACCGAACAGCCTGCCTTCTCTCTCCCCCCATACACACACACACACCCTCCTTAGCTCCACGCACACACCCTCAGTCACCCACCAATCACCTCACTCACTCATCTCCCTCTTTCACACACCCCTTATTCTTCTGACACTTACCAACCATTTAAAGAAACACATATAATTTAAAATCACTACAGTCCCTGTTTAGTCCCCAGCACTTCCAGTTGCAAGGAAAGCAGTAGGTGATGTCAAAGACCCTGGAGAGATGTTGCCAGCGCACATATGAACATAAGAACATAAGAGATGCCAATGTTGGATCAGGCCAAAGGCCCATCCAGTCCAACACTCTGTGTCACACAGTGGCCAGAAATACCAGGTGCCATCAGGAGGTCCACCAGTGGGGCCAGGACATTAGAAGCCATCCCACTGTTGACCCCCCCCCCCAAGCACCAAGATGACAGAGCATCACTTGCCCCAGAGCCCCTAGCTATACCTTGTGGCTAATAGCCACTGATGGACCTCAGCTCCATATGCTTATCTAATTCCCTTTTGAACTTGTAGCCGCCACCACCTCCTGTGGCATAAGTAAGTAGACAGGACCGAGGGTCTGACTGCTGAAAGCAGCTTTAGGTGACCTTAGGGCAGCAACTCTTTCCATTGGCCGCCCCAACCAAAACACTGATGGAACAAGGAGACGTCGCCAGGATACCCCACTGTACCTCGGCCACTGAACAGAGAGCCACATACCTGTGCTGTTTCTAAAAGGCTTCAGACAGTATAGGCAGCTCAAAACCAAGGTCTCTGATGAAAGCAATAATTCTGGCCCGAGCCTTAGGAAAAAAGCAGGGTAAGAGTCCAAATGAATACAAAACAAAAAACAAAATGAGACTTCTTGACGCGATAGATGCCTGAACAGTTGTGGCAAGTGAAAAGGGCAAGCCTTGTGATAGGAAAGGGGCTCAAAAGAAAACTGGCATTGAAATACCCTTGCATCGGTCTGGCCCCACTTGCAACATTACCATCCGTATCAAAAACATACGGCAGAGAAGAAGAAAGTCTAGAGGAGAGCAATGTTCCCTCTAAGCTGTGGAGTCCTGTGAGCAAAAATCCTACTTTGTGAGCTCCTGGCATTAAAGTTGTGAGCCAGCGACTTTGGCTGCTGCAGAAATTAGTTTCCTCTGGAGCCCCACCCTTCCTGAGCGGAGACAGAAATGTGTGAGCCGGAGGCTAAAAAACTGTGAACTGGCTCACACTCACTCACCTTAGAGGGAACACTGGAGGAGAGTGGCCCGGACTGTGAAGGGGGCGGCTAAAGAATCCCGGGCCCTTCCGTTGAAAACCTATCCTGCCTAAGGAAAGGCGGGATAAAAGTTCACGGAACGATGCACGGGCAGGGGGGCATTTTCATACCCCGAAAGGAACACGGAGGGCGACACACTCAAGACGAAGCAAAGCCCTTTACCCAACTGTGGCCACGGGGACACCCGTCGCTTTTGAA